TAAGAAATTTTCAGATTCCAAAAATTCCCTGGATTCCATAGATTCTCCAAACTTTAAAAATTCTCTGGATTAAAAAATTCCCCAGATACCAAAAATTTCCCAAATTCCCAAACTTTCAAAAATTCCCAAGATTCCAAAATTCTTGAAATTCACAAAATTCTCCAGGTTCCAAAAATTTCCCAAATTCCTAAAATTTCAAAAATTCCCCAGATTCCAAAAATTCCCCAAATTCCTAAAATTCCTCATCCTCTTCTCTCAGACCATCCAACCTTCCATACATTCAAACATCCCCAACTTGTTAATTTCAGAAGTTTATGTTCCTCCTACAAATTATATTATTTTTTTATGATTATTTACCGACAGCAATCGTGCACGTCACGCGAGAGCACGAATCACCAGACGGTCATCGTAATTGATAATTTGATAAGTGTCGCGCGATCCGGGGAAACGTTTTGTCGGTTTTCCGCTCCGTTACGCCGCTGATTTCGACCCGGTTTCTTATTACGTGCCTCCGTCGCGTTTCCTAAGGAACCTCGATTACTATCGCGATCAGATACCACGGTCCTCCAGGTGGTCGACATGAAACCGTGGTACGTTGAGTTTCTTTGCTGGACGCTGAAGATTAGTGGGGATATCAACTTGGTAATTGAGGCGCGCGTGATCAACGACAGCGAGAATTTTATCTAATTGTATGATTATAAGTGCGAGACCTCTTTCGTTTATCTGAAAACATTTTATTCAGGAACGAATTCCTAATTGCGAGTCTTGTTTGTTAACAAATAGTGTATATACATGATACTTTAATAGAAAGGATTATTTATTTGAATATGTAATAGAAAAATTATTCATGAAGCTCATTTTGTATTAACTTTATAATATTATACTTATTCACCAGTTATATTGAATTAAATTTGTGTAGTTTTGAAACACTTATGGCGGGAAAATTCAAACGTAAGGTTTACTCATGAGAGCCTAGTTAAGGCAGATAAAAATAAAATTAAATTATTCTTCAAAAAATTGTTTGCAAAGTCTATAATTATGAATTAACTTCCTTTTACTATGTTTGTTAATGAACTATGCTGTGTTTGGTTAGATTTATACGTAGAGATCTCTGCAGCGCCTTTGGCGGGAAAATTCAAACGTAAGGTTTACTCATAAGAGCCTATTTAAGACAGATAATAATAAAATTAAGTTTGTTCTTCAAAAAATTGTTCATAAAGCCTATAATTATGATTCAACATCATTTTTATATGTTTGTCAATGAACTATGCTGTGTTTGGTTAGATTTCTACGTAGAGATCTCTGCAGCGTCTTTGGCGGGAAATTTGAAACCGCGCAATGTCAGATTATCTCCCGGAAGACTATCTCAGGTGCAACTCAATAAAATAAAAGAGCCCGATGACTTTTGCGAAACTTGAAGAGTCCGCCAGCAAATAAAACGCGAAGGGAAGAATTATTGAATGGATGTTCCGTGGGAGTAACTTTACGAGAGCCGATGAATCTCGTGTCAAATGAAATGTGAAAAACTTGTCGAATAAAGGTCCCGCGTAATTTTACGAGAGTCAAGGAGTTCTCCATCAAATGAAATGTAAAATAATCTCTGAATGAAACTGCTCGGCACGAATGAGGCTTGATTTACGCGCAATACTGAAAGCAATCTTCAATGGGAAGAGCGGAAATGTAGAACTAATAATTTTTCTATGGTCACTTTTGAATATGCGCTTCGTGATGAACTTTGGGAACGGAATAATTTTAATACCACTGCATTTTTTATAATTGTTATATTTTTTACAAATTTTTATATTTGTTGTAGTTTATTGTATGTACAAATAATAAGGTGGAGGGGTTTTGAGGGAAAATGGCGAATTAAGTTTACGGGTTTTCAGAATTTTTAGATTTTTAGATTTTTAGATTTTTGGATCTTTAGATTCGCAAGTTTACGTATTCCAGAATCCTTAGGTACTCAAATGTCCACATTCTAGAATTCCTAGGACTCCAAATCCATTTTAGGATATCTACGTATACAAGTCCCTACATTCCTAGTTTCTACAATTTTCAAATCTCTGACAGCCCAAATTTCTAGCTTCCCAAATTCCCAAATTTTCGAATCCCTGAATCCCCAAATCTCAGCACATCCCAATTTCTAAACTCTCAGATTTCCACTCATTCCAATCCCTAAGTCTTCAGATCTCCACTCATCCCAATCCCTAAGTCCTCAGATCTCCACTCATCCCAATCCTTAAATCCTCAGATCTCCACACATCTCAATCCCTAAGTTCTCAGATCTCCACTCATCCCAATTCCTAAATCTCTAGATCCCCACACATCCCACTCCCTAAGTCCTCAGATCTCCACACATCCCAATCCCTAAATCCTCAGATCTCCACACATCCAAATCCCTGAATCCGCAGATCTCCACACATCCTAATCCCTAAATCCTCAGATCTCCACTCGTCCTAATCCCTAAATCTCTAGATCTCCACACATCCCAATCCCTAAACCCCCAGATTTCCACATACTCTAATCCCTAAACCCCCAGATCTCCACACATCCCAATCCCTAAACCCCCAGATCTCCACACATCCCAATCCCTAAATCCCCAAATCTCTACACATCCCAATCCCTAAATCTCCAAATTTCCACACATCCCAATCCCTAAGTCCTCAGATCTCCACACACCCTAATCCCTAAACCCCCAGATCTCCACACAGCCCACTCCCTAAATTCCCAGATCTCCACACATCCCAATCCCCAAATCCCCAAATCTCCACAAATCTCCAATTACCCTCACATCCCAATCCCTAAACCCTGATCTCTCATCCTCCCCTATCTCCCCAAATCTCAACACACTCCACTCCCTAAATCCCCACATCACTTCCAAACCTTCATAACCCAGAATCTAAAGTTCCAGAAGTAGAGAACCCCAGGCACCGTCTATCGCCATATTCCCTGCCTCACCATAAGTCCATAGGTAGTCCTTAACATGTCACCAATTTCACAAAACTCAGCGAATAATTTTCCGACACTTTCCCGCCGCGATATTATGATTAGGCGGACACCTGATGGGCGCTGTAATGATCTGCCTGCTGTCTACCTGCGGAAGCGGTGTGGTCACATCAGCTGTAGACGCATTTGTGCTATTCGATTGACCCGGCGGGTTGAAAATGAAATTCACACGTTCCTTGAACGTGTCCCCGACTCTTTCGTGCACTTCCTTCAACTTATCGCCGAGCTTCTTCAGCATGGGACCCTTCTCCTGGCTGAAGAAGAATCCGTGAGAAAGTGCCGTCAGCAGGAGCAACAGAAGACAGGCGAAACGATGATGTCCCATTCTCGTAACGTTGAAATCTTGAAGAGGGAATAAGTTGTCGGTGAGTCGATACGAGGGAAATGAACACCGGGCGATATTTCACGATCATGCTCGACGACGGAGGAATATCTCGTTTGGACAGCCTGTATCAGAAGTTAGTAGCTGTTTGCGCGGCAAGTGCGGATAAAATTGTTCCGCGGTGCCTCTTTCGTTGACGAACGACGGAAACTTCGCGGGTTGGAAAGTTTTCTCGGGGAAGAAGTCCCTAATGGGCTTTGGCAAAGTTATAGCGCGGTGTATTTGTACTTGGGGGCTGTACAAAGTGTTTTGTTGGGGAATCTGCTTTGTACTACATGTATGATCAATTTAATATATCAGCAAGATTGTACTAAATCAACCTGTACTATTCGTTTCATATTTGTATAATGATGTGTGCAATGTAATAAGATTTTTATGTATTATTGACGTACGAGACATGTCTTTTGAAACAGCCTGTATAGTCACTGACAGTAAAAGAGAGAAGTGTTTGGAATGTTTAGCATTCTCTTAAATAAAGACTGTGAGAGATGATTTGACTTGTCAAGACTCTTGTTATAGAAATTAATATTGTGGGATTATGAAACAGCCTGTATAAAGAAAAACCTATATAAATTATTGAGATGATCATAGTCTTTTTGTTTATAGTCTGAACAAAATAAGCTGTGAGATGATTTGACTTGTCAGTCAAGACTTGTCAGTATGAAAGAAATTAATGTAGTGGGATTATGAAACAACCTGTATAAAGTAAAAGCCTATATAAATTAAGTCAGATGGTCATAGTCTTTTTCTTCATAGTCTGAACAGAATAGCCTGTGAGATGATTTGACTTGTCAGACAAGACTTGTCAGTATAAAAGAAATTAATATTGTGTCATTATGAAACAGCCTGTATAAAGTAAAAGCCTATATAAATTATTAAAATGGTCATAGTCTTTTTCTTCATAGTCTGAACAGAATAGCCTGTGAGATGATTTGACTTGTCAGTATAAAAGAAATTAATATTGTGTCATTATGAAACAGCCTGTATAAAGTAAAACCCTACATAGATTAAGCCAGATGGTCATAGTCTTTTTGTTCATAGTCTGTACAGAATAACCTGTGAGACAATTTGACTTGTCCATCAAGACTTGTCAGTACAAAAGAAATTAATATTGTGGTATTATGAAACAGCCTGTATAAAGTAAAATCCTAAATTAATAAAGTAAAAATAGATTATTAATATGATCAAGTTTTTTTGTACATAATCTGAACCTATAACCAAGCTTGTTAAAATGTATCTCAAAGTTATCAAATTCAGACCGAGTCACAGTTAATGAAACACCCTGTACTGCACATTCTCCACGAACTTCGTATCAGAACTTCCCAACTGGAATCTCTATCTACACTAATCGTACTTCAATGTTGTCATAAGTGACCCTAATCCACTTACAACAAATGAAACACCCTGTACTACGAACCGACTAAGACTTCCTCTGAAACTTCCAGATTGGAATCTCTGTTCACAACTTCAATATTATCACTCCTGAACTGGGTCACACTAAATGAAACACCCTGTAAACTCAAGAGTATCTCGGAAACTTCCACACTCTCTCTGTCCATACTTCAATAACGCGTGTACGATAAATGAAGCACCCTGTATAAACACAACATACCTTTAGAACTAGAGTTTAGATTGCAATCCAAGATCCTGGCTCGTATGCAAAGTCGCTCAGGAATATCAGAAAGCTATGAAACAACCTGTAGAATGAAAGAAGAGACAAATGATACAATTGACAAATTTCCGAGCGAACAAAGCGCAGAGGGTTCGTTGAGCAATTATTCAGCGATTTATTACCGTATCCCGGGTGGTCTCTCCGAGTCGTCGACACCGTCCGCGTATCTCTCGCGAGCCTCCACAAGACTATAAGACCCGTTGCCCCATAACTTTTCACCACCATAGAATGAAATAAAGCCGTCGGACGAACAGAGTGTAGTTCACGGTCCAAGTAACTCGTACAAACAGCGGGATCGTTCTGTGAACGGCGACAATGACGATCTAGAAAGAGAAGAAGCCAGGCCAACAGATTCTAGCCGTGACGGCGTATCATCTTTTTTTTTTATTGGGGTCAAGAGTGCACTTCGTTATCTGCGCCGGGAATTTGTATCGGTATAAATTGTTTTTGCCCGATATATACGCTGGCTGGCCTCGTTTCACGATTCGTGGTTATCTATCGTGGCCTAAATCACCCTCTTCTTCTTCCACGCGTTAATCTCCTTGGACGAGATACCTGTAACGTTCTTCTCGTCGAGGCTAATCTCTGGACGATAGGACGCTTCTTCGGTAACCGTCGTTATGTATGTATATTGTTTCAGTGGGATTTGGCGGAAATTTGGGGATTTAGAGGGATACGTTTGGGGAATTTTGGGATTTGGAAGCTTGGGGAATTGGGGAAGGTGGAAATTGGGGAATGTATTAATTGGGGAATGATGGAATTGGAGAATGATGGAATTGGGGAATGATGGAATTGGAGAATGATGGAATTGGGGAATGATGGACTTGGGGAATGATGGAATTGGGGAATGATGGAATTGGAGAACTTTCTAATTGGGAAATTATGGAATTGAGAAATATAGTAATTAGGGAAGGATGGAATTGGAGAACGTAGGAACTGGGGAATGTGGGAATTGAGGAATGTGGGAATTGGGGAATGATGGAATTGGGGAATGATGGAATTGGAGAATGATGGAATTGGGGAATGATGGAATTGGAGAATGATGGAATTGGGGAATGATGGAATTGGAGAGTGTAGGAATTGGGGAATGATGGAATTGGAGAACTTTCTAATTGGGAAATTATGGAATTGAGAAATATAGTAATTAGGGAAGGATGGAATTGGAGAACGTAGGAACTGGGGAATGTGGGAATTGAGGAATGTGGGAATTGGGAAACGTAGTAATTAGGGAAAGATGGAAATGGAGAACGTAAGAATTAGAGAATGTGGAAATTGAGGAATGTGGGAATTGGTGAATGTAGGAATTGGGGAATGTAGTTCGTCATAAAAGTTGCAATGTCCAAAAAGAAATGTCATGTGATGTAACATGTACACTATTTATACGAGCAACATATTTAAATATCTACATAACAAAGAACATAAAAGTATTTTTAAATTCTTGCATCACATCCCCAATTCCTGATACCTAATCATACATATATTACAACACGCACATATATAGCACGAATCTGTTACATAATAGATCATGTTAACGAGATAACTACTAACGATGTTTACGAATAACGTCGCAACAGATAGCCTGCATCGCGGAAAAATGAAAAAGTAAATATTAAAATTGCGTGATACTCGAATGCACATTTCGTAGATTGCTTTTTAAATAATTTTGCACAGTAGCAGATGATGCAAGAAGTAATAAAACGAAGAAATACAAAACTCGGTATTTCGTTGTTAACGTTTCTGTATAGGGTGTACTTGCACGTTCGCGTTGTAATAACCGTGTTCGTACAAAGGCGACAACTTACTTGCAAATTACAAGAAAAGTAGTACTTCAGCGGGCCACTTCAAGCGGACCACGTTTAATCCGACCGCGTATATTTAAAGAACGCGGTAAACTTTACGGAAGGAAAACTGTTTGAATCTTTTGCAGTCGAGGCTTGCAATTAAACGCGATAATTTGGATTGGATTATGCACGGTGATAAAGAATTTAAAAAGATATTTAACGTCAAAGAGATGGAGAGGGAAATTTATTTTTGGCGCTGTGTATTTTTATTGCAAGGCTAAGTTCGGGGAGATGGGGGCTTTAGATGGAGGAATTTGCAGATAGCAATTTTTCAGTTTGGATGTTTTATGGTTATTGAGATTTGGGAATTTTTGGAGTGACAAATTTTATAAGTTTCCACATTTTCCAATTCCATCATTTTTCAATTCCATCATTCCCCAATTCCATCACTTCTTAAATCCATCATTTCCCAATTCCATCATTCCCCAATTCCATTATTCCCGAATTTCACCATTCTCCAATTCCATTATTCTCCAATTCTATCATTCCCCAATTCCACCATTCTCCAATTCCACTCTCCCCAATTCCCACACTCCCCAATTCTCACATTCCCCAATTCCCACATTCCCCAATTCCTACATTCCCTAATTACTACATTGCCCAATTCCCACATTCCCCAATTCCTACATTCCCAATTCCCACATTCCTCAATCTCCACCTTCCTCAATACCATATTCCCCAATTCCCACATTTCCCAATTCCCACATTCTCCAATTCCCACTCTCCCCGATTCCTACTCTCCCCAATTCCTACATTCCTCAACTTTCACATTCGCCAATTCCCACATTCCCTAGTTTTTACCTCCCATATTCCCGAATTTGTCGTATTTTTGTGAGACGAGTAATAATTAATTTCGAGAGGTAATAATTATTCTGAGAACAAGTTATAACAAACATTGTCTCTCGGCAAATTAAAATTAAATATCCCCTTTCTATAATACAACTATGAATAATTAATTTTGTGAGGTAATAATAATTCTTTGCTGAATTTCTAAAAAACATCGCACCCTCTTTCACAAATAAAAATGAAATGTCTCCTTTTTAAATACGAATAATTAATGATAATAGTAAGTGATAATTCGTTGCTGAAGATATTCCTCACAGAAATAATAAAAATTAAGGGATGATAATTGGTTGAAGTTCGTAAAAGGTTTGTGGTGAAGTGTAAAGATAGGAGAGCGGTAGATAGAGAACAAAAATTGACCAGAGAATTTGTAGTTGGAAGAATACAAGAGATATCTTCGGTATAGATCTGGCCGCGGGTGACAATGGCGGCCGCAGCTATTGGCCCGTTTCACAAGCACGGCCCATATCAATACCCCTTTGTTGCACATGACTGAGTCCGGGATAAAATCCCTCTTCCCCTTTTCTCTGGCCATACCGGCAGAAAGCCGAGAAATAATGCGCAAACTTCTACTCAGACGAAATCCTTTGGAAAAATATTTCTTACGCTTCTATGGAACACCTCGAGCGTGGTCGAAACGCTTTTTGTCCGGGAAACGTTATATATATTGTTTCAACTGCGATTCTCTGTCCATGCAACCAACAATTTTCAACAACCTTTTCAAGCTATTTAAACATCTCTTTAAACCCTTCTTCCGTCTTTTCTTACTGCTACTTTTGTTACGCAAACATAACCTCTATACGGATACTTCACTCATTCGAAATTCTCGCGTTATCTTTACTATCAAAATTTCTGCTATTCTTCTTTACTTTGCTTTTTATGAAGATGTTCTTTTTAGCAACTTGTTAAATAACTGGTTAAAAATGTCGGATTGTAACAACATTTGCAAATGAAAAATTATTTAAGAAATTTCTTATTGTAACTGCACATGTAAATAAAAGGTGATGTTCTTTTTAGCAACTTGTTAAATAACTGGTTAAAAATGTCGTATTGTAACAACATTTGCACATGAAAAATTATTTAAGAAATTTTTTATTGTAACAGCACATGTAAATAAAAGGAGATGTTCTTTTTAGCAACTTGTTAAATAACTGGTTAAAAATGTCGTATTGTAACAATACGTGCAAGTGAAAAATTATTTAAGAAATTTCTTATTGTAACAGCACATGTAAATAAAAGGAGATGTTCTTTTTATCAACTTGTTAAATAACTGGTTAAAAATGTCGTATTGTAACAATACGTGCAAGTGAAAAATTATTTAAGAAATTTCTTATTGTAGCAGCACATGTACATGACAAATTATTTTAAAAATTTCATATTGTAAAAGTACATGCAAATGAAAAATTAATTTTATAATTTCATATTGTAACAGCACATGTAAATAAAAAATTATTATAAAAATTTCATATTGTAAAAGTACATGCAAATGAAAAATTATTTTAAGAATTTCATATTGTAACAGCACATGTAAATAAAAAATTATTATAAAAATTTCATATTGTAAAAGTACATGCAAATGAAAAATTATTTTTAAAATTTCATACTGTAACAGAACATGTAAATAAAAAATTATTCTAAAAATCACATAATTTAAAGGATCTTATAAATGAAAAGTTATTTTAAAAACACCATACTGTAACAGTACATGTAAACAAAAAATTATTCTCTAAGAGACACATTTTAAGAGTACATTAAAAATTATTTTAAAACTGTCCCACTATAAAAGAACAAATTAAAAAAATTATTCTTTAACTTCATACTGTAAAATATAAATTAAAAATTATTTAACAACATAAAAACTGCACCTACATATTTTAGATATGTAAAATAATTTTAATTGTCAAAAAAAAAATTGTGCAAGATTTTTAACAAGTTGAAAATTTATAACAAGTTAAAAATTTAGAGTAAAAATATGAAGTTACAAAAGATATACAAATTTGAAAAATTCCTAAGAATATATTTTGTAAAATTTGAGGCAGTAAAAGTAAGAGAGGAAAAGAGCCAGTGTTACGTGCATTGACCAAATGGAGCAGGCGTGAACATTGATTGATCCGTTTAATAGTGCAAGTGATATCTGATCGAGTCAGAGTGATTCGATCCGCAACGAATCTAATAAAGCAAATGAATGGTCAATCTGTAAAATCAGTTATCGGTATCACCGATCCGTATTATCATAACGAAATCCGTGCAAAAGTGGATGTTGTTACGTCCGTGACACGGTATTCAAATGATGAACAGGTTGTAGGTCAGCGTTGAATATTGTATGAGTTGTTTGGATGGCAAAGTTGAATTTATTACGTAAACTTCACACACGGACATGATACTTCAACTATAAGGTGATAATACGGTTCTGCATAATTTATTGCGACAATGTTCCTGAATAATGAGCATCTTAAAACATCTCGAACTGTTTACCTTGGACTTTTTGATCGCCTCAATATTTGAAATTTTAATTATCGTTGGATTAAAAGTAGACTTTCGAAAAATTCCCTCGACCGAGAGCGAAAGTTTACATTGCAGAAATGTTGAATTTCGCGTGATCGAGTTATTACGACACTGTATCTTATATTCTCCATAACGCAAAGTACACAGCCGTGTATGCCATCCTCTCTTCGCCACCTTTCCGTAACTTCGAAGTTGCAGGAGTTCGTAAGGCAGCAAACAACGCCGAGTCAATGATTAAACACGGTTTATTACCAAAGCAGGCTATTGTGCAACGTTGAAATATTTATAGAACCGGAGAAATTGG